TTTTTTTTTTTTTTGGTCAAATCACTTACTTCTCCTGCAACTTTCAAATCATCCCCTGCTTGCTCTCTTCTCTGTGCTTGCTCGCTCTGTCTCTCATGCACAAATGCACACACTCTCTCCCCCTCCCTCCTAAAAACAGTGGGGATGGGAAGCAGAAATCAGAAATTTTCTTTCTAATCCTTCTGTATTTGAGTCAGGAAAATTGACCCATTCATTTTGTATCCTCAATAGCAGACAGCAATTTTAAAGGAAGAATTTGTTTCTAGGACTACTTTTAGTATAAATCTTAGACTATTATTTCATAAATCAGCTTAATCACCAAAGAAACTGCCTGATCAAAAGATTTCACAAGTTCAAAACATTCCATTAGCCCAATAAGAAAAAAATATTAATGTGCACATACACACTTTTTTTTTTTTCACTTTCCCAACCTTTCATTTTTCCCAAAGCCAACTTTATCAAAAGTCAGTAAAACCAAGAATGGGAAATAGACCATGAGGCCACATGAATTCATTTTGTCAGGGTATAGTAGCAAATGACAGAAAAGTGTGTTCAATTCTGACTTAAGTCTTTATTCAGTTAAAAATGATAAAATGCTATATTAGATTTTTTTTAATTAGCAATATAGGACTAATTCATAAGAGTTACCTCTTTATCACATTTCCTTTAAATGTATGTTTAAAGGAATATCGAAAGTCTGTTTTTAAAAATAGACTTCAGGGACTATCAAAACCCTGAGCATTATTTTACTAGACTACTTTTCTAAAAGCAAATGACAGTAGCTTTTTGATAGGCAAAAAGTCATCTTTTAAAATCTAAAATAAATTTAACAAAATATTTTAAGATATATTACACCTGAATCCTTAGGGAAGGAATAGCTATTTAACACCTTGGAATGACCTAGTGTTCTCTTAGCAAACTTCCCCTTCCCCTAAGCAAATTGCAAATTAAAAAAGATGATTCTGGTTGTACTAACATCATATTTGGAAATGCTGCGACTATTTAGTAATCTGTTTCACCCTTGCAGAAAGATCTCTAACATAACCCTTTAGATGTGGCATGGGTATGTGTACACACATATATGTATACATATTTTTAATCCTTTTTCTCTAGAAATTATATTTTTAACAGCTGTGCATTCTTAAGCGAATTATATCTTTCTAATACTCAATTTTTTCATCTGTGAAATGGGGATAATAAAAGATATTATGTGGGGTTGTTGTAAGGACTGGTTTAATGTTAAATTATTCTCCCCTATAAATGTCCTAGATGTATAAATAATCATTCCCCCGAAGTACACAAATTTAGTGGGACATCTGGTGTTCAACTATGAAATTCCCTTTATCTTATTTCTATCAAAACTGGCTTCCCATGAATTCAAAAGCATCAAACAATGTGACTCGTGCCATGTAAGAATATACTGGTAGCATGAAAGACAAGTGATCTTTCCCTGGATCTATTTTTAGGAATGGTTTAATTATCTACACTCCTACTGTTAACACTGGAAAATAAACAAATGGGTGAAAGACATCACAGAGAGTCACTCAGATCAACAGTTTCATAGTATTCAAAAATAAGAGGGATGAAAAACATTTAGATTATTTCTCTCTCACTAGTAATCCTTACCGACAAGGCAGGCCAGAATGTGTAGAGGTTTGAGAGGAATTTGCCGAACTGATCAATTCAGACTGCAAGGTTCAGAGGTTCCATGTTTAAAATATAACCAGTGAGAAAACCATAATTCAATAGTTGGTTTTCAGTAAATCTACCTCACAGTGTCAAAAGAAATGATTTTTTTTTTTTTTTAGTTACCTAGCTGCTTCATATGGGCAGAAAACAATCATGAGTTTCCATATTAAAATATATTTATATCTATACTATTACTTATTCTCACCTAAAGTGGGGAAAAACTGACCCGATTCTCTTGTCAGGCAAAGAAAGGTATCATGGTTAACAATTATGACATCACCAGCGACCTGATATTCATAATTATCTATAAAGATTAAACCTACAGCTAGAAAACTGCCAAAGAAACAGCTGAAATTTTTGTACCCCTATATACTCTTTTCCTGTTAAACTAAAGTGTGGTAACTGACGCATTTTCTATGAAAGAAGAGCTCTGATAAAGCACCAACAATTCAAACTCTCTCCTTACACCATGCCATTTCCTTATTCATCTTATTCTATTAATGGAACATAATCTTACCGGAAAAGGAAAAATGTTGTCAGCCCTGTTCAAGCTATCTTCCATCCAGGATTTAGGAGCAAAGGCTGAGCTGGGACGAGCATACTTCTGGAGCTGAATATGATTGCTTGCAAAATTTTTCTTCAAAGGCGAGATGGAGTTCAGGGGTGTTATTCCACCATTCAGCCCTCTTCGGTGATCTCGGCCCTGGGAACCTCCCCAGCCACCATAACCACCACCTCCTGGGCTCCAGGAAGAAGAGGGTGTTGGAGAGGGACTCTGGTAGCTGCTCCACGGAGAGGGGGGTTTGTTAAGATTATTCGCCAAATGAGGCAGCTGGTTAAAAGCAGCGTTTCTATGTGTGAAGGGTGGGGGATGGGGACTGGCAGGAGACCTCCTTTGCTGCTGATGCTGGCTGTGATGATGCTGGAAATGAGGGTGATGAGGGTGGTGCTGCGAGAGAGGCCCAATCTGAGGGGAGAAGCTGCCTCCGAAGCCAGGGCTGACATGGTGGGGAAAATTTTGAAACAACAGAGCACCGTTATTAGCCGAAGCGGCAGGGACCCCTCCCTGGTGAAAGAAACTTGCATCTTCGTTGATTATTGTAGAGGAAGAAGGCGCTATGGCCGCGGACCAGTTACTGAAACCAGTAAGAGAAGATGCACTGGATGTCAAGGGTTGGGTGGAAGTACCTAGCCCCGTGGCTTCTTGATAATCAAACCCTGTCAACACTGGTGACTCAATTCTTATTTTCTCCTTCCCATTGCCGTTTTCGGAAGAATTGTCCCCTTGATTTTCTTCAGATTTGGCCTTCTCGGTTTCAGGCAGTATTCCAGCTTCCTGGCCTGGACTCGGGGAAAGCTGCTGCTTTTCTAAAGGGTCTTGCTGTTCTTGTTGCTGACTTTTTGCTTTTTCTGACCCCAGGATCTCATCCTGAATGTTATGGGTAGCTGGAGCAGGAAAGAGCCAAGCTGACCCAGCACTGCTGCCATTGGCAGCTGTGTTATTATTTATAAAAGCAGCAGGGCTGGGGGTGGCATTTTGGTGATGGTGTGGAGGCTGCAGATGTGGATGGAATCTGACTGGAAAAGCAGATTTATTCCCAGTATTGCTTTGCACTAGCACTCCAAACCCGTAATCCCCCATTTATTATTTTTAGGATCAGAATCTCACAATAAAAAAATGACAACCTGTTCTCTCACACCTTTTTTTCCTCTACCCAAAATTTAAGTTGTGGGTTTACTTGAAATGTCTTATTTATAGCTAGCTTAAAGATCACAAGTTATCACCCTAAATAGTTCTGATTTGGAATTATGGTCTCTGAAAGGAAAAAAAAAACACAAAAAATCTTAAAACACTGACATGAATCCAATTGGGCTTATTTCTAGGAGGAAATAAAAATGAAGAGGGTAAAAATCAAGTCTTTGGTTAGTAAAATAGGCGCTTTCTTTTTCCAAAGGAAAATGTACATGAATGACAAAAACACAGCTTCTCAAGCATCTATGGATGTAGAAGAATAAGCATTGCGCGGAGTAAAAATATATTTATATATAATTTAACAATCACATATGGTCTTCCTCAGCAGTTTAGATTCACTCACATAAAAATTAGAATAGGCTAAGGGGAGAATACGTTCTTTTCTTGGCAGCTTGGTTAAAAAAATCAGGAATAATTTAAGAACATTATATATTATATATTTATATATATAGATTATATTGGGTTATCTGGGGCGGGAGGTGAATTCCTGGTTTCAGGAGAAGAAATCAGCATTGACTAATGGAAAGATGATTGCAGGGAGGATTTTGCTGTTCCTGGTCCTGTTTCTGCTCCTTCGCAGGGTGCAGTTTTGGCCTCTGGGGCTGTTCCTGAGGCTCCGGGTGCAGATCTTGCTGCGGTCGCTGTTCCTGGGCTCCCCCCGGCCTCCTCTCCCCCATGAAAGGGGTCAGAAACACCCGTTTCTTCCGCTTGGTTGTGATGGGGGTGGGGTGGGGGTCGCGATCAGGAGGGATTAGCGAGACTCGAAGAGGGCTAGCTGGCGGCCCGGGGGTGCGGGGACCAAGGGGGCGCCGACCTGGAAGGTCCTGCGGTTTCTGCCTCTTCCCCTCTCTGCGGCTCCGGGGTTTTTTTCCCTCATGGGACCCAGGGACGGTTTGTTCAGTTCTCTCAGTTCGATTCTCCGCAGCGGGGGGAAAAAAGAGGAAAACAAGGAAAACCCCCCTGCCGTAGTTGTTCTAATGGAGAAGGGGCTCCCCTCTTGGCCCTCTCTCTCTTTTCCCCCCAGATCTCTTTTTAAACTATAATTTAAAAGGCTTTTGTTTCTCCTCACTGTT